GTTAACTTACACTCTAAAATCTTGAATCAAATATAGTGTTCTAGGTGAGAGATCAAACTATAATAGTTTTTTATATTATTATTAAAGGATAATGAAATGGAAATGAATACGCATATAAAAAATACTATTATACATATTACCATGAAAAATGACTCATATATTATTGAAGGTGCCAGGTTCATCAAAGTAAAACATACACCAACAGTTGCCAACTTTCCGTCTGACTTTAATACCTCATTATGTATGCTAAGGTTTTTTACCATTTCATTATCTTCCAATAATAAAGATGTATTACAAGTGACGTCTGTGAAGCTAGCATATCATATATCAGCATCGCAAAAAATAACAACAGTTCTGCTTGCATCCACCATAGTTCTACAGTTCTATATTGGTTTTATCAACAGTTCTACCGAATTACATCCAGAAAACCGATTTAAAATATGAGATGCCAACTTCCCGTCTTACCATCCAGCATCTCACCGGATTTCGAACGTATGAGGTGTAAAATACAAGAAACCAAAGAGTTCTATCGTTAAAACTTAATACATCAACAGTTCTGGCCAAAAAACCAAATAAACTGCTCGAAAACGGTATATATTAACACGTACAGGTGATATGCTGGCCGATTGGTGACAGTTCTGTGAGAAATACCGTACTTATCGTATAGATCTGACTGTGCCCTAAAGAGTTCCGAAGAGTTCTGATGAGAAAAATTATTTATTAATTTTTTAAACAATTTTCAATACCCGAAAAAGGCACTTTTTATAGCATATGTGTGATATGCTGGCCGATTGGTGACAGTTCTGTGATAAATGCCGTACTTATCGTGTAGATCCGACTGTGCCCTAAAGAGTTCCGAAGAGTTCTGATGATAAAAATTATTTATTAATTTTTTAAACAATTTTCAATACCCGAAAAAGGCACTTTTCATAGCATATGTATGATATGCTGGCCGATTGGTGATAGTTCTGAAAGGTTTATGGTATTTATCGTGTAGATCTGACTCTGCCCTGACGAGTTCCGAAGAGTTCTGAGATGATAAAAATTATTTATTAATTTTTTAAACAATTTCAATACACGGAAAAGGCACTTTTCATAGCATATGTGTGATATGCTGGCCGATTGGGGATAGTTCTGTGATAAATGCCGTACTTATCGTGTAGATCTGACTGTGCCCTAACGAGTTCCGAAGAGATCTGAAGAGGAAATTTTGAATTTATCCCTTTAATGCGTCATAACTAAGACGCCATTTTGTATTTCGAAAGGTGCCACTCGTCTTTCGAAAGCACTTTTCAAGACGAACATTTTCCGGGGTCGAACGTTCAAATCCGTCCATACCAATTTTGGACAGAGGGGGTCTTCCATTGACGTGGAATGCCCCATATATATGTATACAATCTTTATTTTGAATAGAGCAGATGTTTGAGCATCTCTTTTCAACAAAGACCCTTACGTAGCGTGCTGCTTCAGGTAAACGGCTCTTTTGACCTGCGAGGCTCTATTCTAACTGCCGAGTCAGTTTAGTTCAGCACGTCGTTCGAAACGGTCGAGTTTTTGCTAAAATATTCGAAATGTCGAATTATCCAAAAGGTAGCCGAGAAAATCCAAAGCAGCATTGCCGCAAACGTAAGAGACATTTTCAAGGAAATCAATTTACCGAAGAAAAAAGTGAGAGCGAAGGCGCAAATACAAGCGCAAGTGCGAGGAAACTTGAAAGTGCTAGTAGTGATGATGTAGTGTCCAATCCACTGCACGGATATCGAATTATTGAATTTGCCACTGTTTTTCTTGCTCTCTCGGAATTATTGATCTGCCGTGTGTGTAAACAAGCTATTACTTTTCGAGAATCTGGACAAAGAGGCCTTGGATTTAAAATTGTAGTAATATGTCGATGTGGACACGTAAATATAAACTCCGGGCCGTTTATTCGAAATGGATTTGAAATTAATAAACCGTCGCAGCTGGCATGAGTCTAAAACAGCTCGGCAAGCTCGTAAACAACAACTGGCCAAGGAAAATTAACTATTTGAGGAAGCTGAAAGGTTATTATATGGACCTGGAGTAGCAGATTAATAAGTAAGTCACGATTAACAGTAGTTTTCCTTATCCGATTCACTACTTTATTTTCAATCGCGTTTTTCTCGAAACTACATTTTCGTAATTGGTATACATCATAACTCAAAAACTAATCGTCCGATTGAGTTGAAATTTGGTGTACATATAGTCAATAACATTCTCTTCAATTTGTATCTACATGATTACAACATTTACATTAAATAATAAAACTTTTTTAAACAAATTGGTTGAAAAATTCACGCAAAAAACGACTTTTCTTTTTAAAACAATACCAAATTTTTAATTTTCGACTTTTTTATAATTTTAGAGGTTTACATTGAAGGAAATATGGTTAATAATTGATATTTTTTTACGTTTCTGTTTCAGATGAATATTCAGAGAGCTGTGATGTATACCGTTTGTGAGGTCGAGCGCGACCTGACTTCATTTAGATTGCATTATAGCCGCCATTTTGTTTTTTTTCTAAAAATTTTTTTTGTGCTTGAAGTTTTACTTATTACGTGTAAAAATTGTAAAATGATTAGATGTTTGTAAGTGTAATAAAAAAAATTACAAAAAACCCGTTATTTTTATGCATCTACATGTATTTCCCCCTTAACTTACACTCCAAAATCTTGAATCAAATATAGTGTTCTAGGTGAGAGATTAAACTATATATATATATATAACAGTTTTTTACATTTTAAAAATAAATCACAAAAGATCAATATTAATTTTAAAAGAATTCTTATACCAAATTGTCTATTTTAACGTAATACATTTTATTATTGAAAGATAATGAAATGGTACATATTACCATGAAAAATGACTCATATATTATTGAAGGTGCCAGTTCAAAGTAAACATGCATAAAGTATGTATTCTTTTGTTGCATATATACGTAATAATGATTTAACATTGCTATGATAATGTAGATTGTAATAATAAGGCTCGGTAAATTTAAAACTGATGGAGAGAAACAGGGTTACGAGCCAATAAATTCTTTATAAACTTACTATTATAAACAACAAAAGTGTACATGTGTTATTAAATCATTATTACGTATATATGCAACAAAAGGATATACATTTTATGAATGTTCACTTTGAACTGGCACCTTCGATAATATATCAGTTACTTTCCATGTTAATATATTTTATTATTAGATAATTATTTAAAGTTTTGAAGATTTTAATACTAAAAAAGTAATTTTATGTTTTGAGAAACTGTATCAAATAAGTTTTATCTTTATTATTATAAAAGAATTGATTCTTTGTGCTGTATTTTATCTTCAGATTTATTGAAGGGAAAATCCTGAAAAGAAAAGGCAAGAGTCTTCTAAATCCATACCTTTTTTCTTTTCAGACTTTTCCTATCAACAAGCACAAAGAATGAATTCTTATAATTATATAAGGAATAGAGAATACAAATTAAGGTATCTACCAAACAAATAAATAACAGATCTGGAGACACGGTAGTGTCTCGGTAAATAAGTAACCTAACCAAATACTGTAAAAAGAAAATAATTATATAGAAATTAATTTGTATTCTTACAGCGGAATTACAGCAGAGAATTTGTGTAATAAAGCAGAAAATATCTAACCGCACTTACGTGTTCGCCTATTCTATGCCATCGATGGGACAGATTCCCTAACCTCAATCCTTTGTTATTGCCGAGACTCTTTATCCGACTTTAACGATCGTACAGATCGCAGAGATCGATATTTATTCTAACCTCACTTCCGTATTCGTCTATGCCATCGATGTGACAGAGTTCCTAACCTCAATCATTTGTTATTGCCGAGACACTTAATAATCCGACTTTAACGATCGTACAGATCGCAGCGACCGATATTGTCGCGACCACATTTATCTCTTGCGCCAAAAATTCCAGAATGCATTTCCTCACTCCGTAGCAGGCAACGACGACGGACGACGGACGATGGACGACGACGACGAGGACGACGTTTCTTACAAATAAACCCATTTCCACAACGGCGAACACCTAGACACTTACTTCCTCGAATGCGAACACTTAGACACTTTCTTCCTCGAAGGCGAACACTTGTTAGACACTCTCTTCCTCGAAGGCGAACACGTAGACACCCACTTTCTCGACGGTGAACACCTAGACACTCACTTCCTCGAAGGCAAACACGTAGACACCCACTACCTCGACGGCGAACACCTAAACATCCATTTTCTCGACGGCGAACACCTAGACTCTCACTTCCTCGAAGGCGAACACCTAGACACTTACTTCCTCGAAGGCGAACACCTAGACACTCACTTCCTCGAAGGCGAACACCTAGACACTTACTTCCTCGAAGACGAACACGTAGACACCCACTTCCTCGAAGGCGAACACCTAGACACTCACTTCCTCGAAGGCGAACACGTAGACACCCACTTCCTCGACGGTGAACTCCTAGACACTCACTTCCTCGAAGGCAAACACGTAGACACCCACTTCCTCGACGGCGAACACCTAAACATCCATTTTCTCGACGGCGAACACTTAGACACTCACTTCCTCGAAATCAAACACGTAGACACTTTCTCGACGACGTACATATCTCTATATTTCGATATTTCAATTTTTATATATATTTATATATGTAAGGTTGTTACTTTCGTCGATTCTTATGATCCACGCTTCGCGAGCCACAGACACGACGAGAGTACGGTGTCAGGATTCTTTACGGGGAGGATAGGAAATGACAGGCGACCAGGATGCAACAAACACGTATAGACTTTGGTAGACTTAATAGCTTTAATACTATCGCGGATATACCACTCGACGTTCAGGACGACAAGACTCACTTCTTGTACAACGACTCGACTTCTTCTCAGTACAAAGACTCATTTGAAAACTCAAGCGGCCAATTCGCACACACGACGTCACACCGCGCGGACGCACTCGCGCCGACCATAACGATGACGACTTCAAGACTTAAACTATATACGCGCCGCGCATGTAGCGATCGTGGCGCTACGAGACGGCTAACATCTCAATTATAGCGGAGCTGATGTCGGAAACAAGCGCTCGCTTACATATATATATATAATAAATATTTTATATTGTATATATATATTGAATAAAAAATTAATAAATTAATAATATAATTGAATTATAGACTCTTATACGTTTCAAAAACAATACAAAAAATTAAGTAAATACAAAGGCTATTAAGAGTCAACGCT